TTTCGCAACTTGGTCATATTAGAATAAAGACTGCGACCACACAAAAGGCTACAACATCTTGGTCTTCATATATTTAAATTTTATAAAGACATTCAAAAATCTATTGTGATTTATAGAATTTGCTGTCACAGCTATAGTTTTTGTCCTAAGTCCTTAGAATCTTAAAGAGTGGATAGATTAATTGACAACTTATCGTCTTGAATGTTTTTATAATACTTTTTTAAATTTTATTCACCCTATACATAATATTTATATAGATCTTATTATTCAAGGAATTCGAGAATTTAGATGTTCTTAAATGACCTTAGCATCAGTGAAATCTCGTGGAATGTACACAATGTACAGACCTTAAACTTTACAGAGGATGCAACACTAGTAGCTTTCTTCCAAGCCAGTTGTTTTACTTGAGTGATATATTTACTCAAGGTCGCATAAAGTGATTAAGGATAGTAGTTAGATTTTCGCACAACGACCTGATTAGACTTTATCTTCTATTTAAATTCACACCGCCATGTTTTCAAAGGAAATTCTCATGCGTGATAAACTACTGTTTCTACCTCGCCTGGGTCTTCTCTTCACCATCCCTAGCGATATTTGCACTCGATATTGCAGCATATAATCTCATTACTTTATAATTTACCCGATACTGTCACGAGTCCCTCTAGGTAACATAGTGGGCGCGAATTTTAGGGAAGGTCAGACACCATTTCAGATATACTTAATTTCGCCTATCAGGATTTTGTAGTGTGATTGCCACTTAAACAAATATGTATTTGCTATTATAAATGACTACATTACTTATTTTCTGTTTAAGTAGGCTTTCATAATTAACAGTAGATCTTGAATTAATGCTGTTAACTCACAATGTTAGTAGGCCTCATGTTTAAATTAAAATTAAGATAGTCTCGAATTCAGCCCCTATTTAAGTCTTAGGCTATTTTCAAATACATGCTAAAGCTAAATATAAGTTAAGTAATCAATTGTATAATCAAATACAAATTTTCTTCATCGACAATCAAACAGCAAACATTGTGATTTTTTATGTCGGAGGAAAAGTTGGTTGGAAGGAATTGATGATGTGATCTCACTGAAAACCGTAGGAGTATTGCTGCATAGGGAGACTGTTGTATTGCGCTGAGAAGTCCTCGGCTTATCGACTTGCGGCCCCGATGAAATTGTGCTAAGCTTTAGTCTGCACAATGATGGACAAACTTCTGTCCAAGATTGACAACAATGTAAAAATGTCAAAGTTTCTTTGACAATTTTTTTCTTTCCTACTTATTTACAAATCCATATATCTTTACACGAAACGAAGGCTGACTGATCATTGATTAATATGGAACAGGTCGTTCTTCATAGACTATATTAATTGCAAAACTTATTTTTGGCCTCATTATGATTATTCATATGAATTTGTTCTTGAGAAAAGTTTACTATTTAAGCTCCGTTAGGCTAACGTCAAGATGCAAGTGATCTCTGAATAATACAAAAGATATCGTCTTATTTTTTACTTATTTATTTTAATGTCTGGGTCACAATTGCAATTTTGAAAATTTTCACTTTTTTGTCCTCGCTCTTGTTTTCTCTTTCGCTCAGGCAAGTACCATTTAACTCTACATATCCACCAGTTTTCATTTACTATTTTTGCTCCATTTACCTGCTTTTCTTTGCCGCTCATTGTTTTCTGTCCCTTAGATTTTGTCCTTTTTACAAGACCGTTGGCATGATGCGCAACTTCATCCACTTCTATGACCAGGCAAGACATTCGATTGAAGCTACTGCTCAGTCAGAGCGTCGGGTGACTTGGGCTATGATTCGTGAAGCCTTGAGCGACACCCTCTATAAACTGTCTAGCATGAAGTTTAAAGATCCGAAAGTAGACGGCAAGGTAAGGCTTCATATTCATCATTTGTTTTCATCTCTAATAATTTTTATGATTTAGGCTAAGTTGCCTCTTGTTTCAACTTTATAAATATTCCATAAAAATTCTTTTATCCTGCATTGTCATATATACTCACTCTATTTATTTGTCATTTCATCTTAAAATATTATTTATTCTTGTTCAAAAATTTGGCCCCCAGGAAAAGATTCTTCGTGATTTCGACGAGCTCAACGAGGAAATTACTGGAGGGTTCAGAAATTTAGAAGACCTTTAAACGTTTATTATCATGCCCTACATACATTCCTTTGCTTCTTCGAATTCCTTTAACTTGAGATTTTGATCTTTTCTATTTTTTAATTCTTTTTTTGCCTTTTTCGACCTTAATTTGTCCCAGACTTTTCTCTTTTTTCGATTTAGTAGACTACGAAAAGTATCCCTCTGTGTCTCTGTTAGAATCATGCTTATTTTATCCGTTACTTTTAATGTTAAAGCGTTCTGTAAATAAAATGGTTCAGCGCCATTTTATCAAACTTTCTTGTGTTCATACGATACCATATTCTTTCTCAGTTACTTTACACTGTACCTTACCTTCTTAACTTCATACTTGCCTCCAGACTATCTGACTTTCTCGTGTATCCTTTAGTATATTATCAATTATTTTTTTATGGGCGTTATAGATTTTTTAATAAGCTATTTAGCGTCCATTAATTTCATATTCAGCTCTGTAGCTATTCATTTTAGATATATTCTTTCTAGGTTTATTTTTTGATTAGCTCTTTCTTATAATATCTTGTCCAGTCTTCTTGTATTGTCGCAAATCGCTCCATTTACGATAAATATTAAAATCGATCAATTTTTGGTGTTTCTCACTCCTTGACTCATTCTCAATCGTTCGGAAGCTTTTCCTCTTTGCAAATCATCGAATTTGTCTATTCCCATTGTATTCCACTTCGTTTCATTTTTTACATTCATTCGTATTTCGCCTATGCTTTATATATCTATTTAAATATTTATCTCCACTCAAATCAATCTACCTGGTAAATTGGAATAATTACTTTTTTTAAGTTAGCTTAATCGGCGGAATTAACCACGCTCTACTCTCCTTGTCCTTCTATATTTCCATTATATTTTCTATTATCTACGTCGTTCTATAGGCGTGTGTTATCCGTTATTTATCTGCATAATACTGATTCCATAATTGAGCTGAATCGCAATAATTTTTATTAATATATACATATATAAATATAAATAAATAAATATATATATATATATATAGTAATTACTTTTCGCTATAAGACTCTATTTTTGCTTATTTATGCTTAGAGGAACTATTCTTTGAAGGAAATAAATCTGCTTTGCGTTCGGCTGCTTTTTCATTCCACTCAGAACTCTGTCGCTTTTTATCAAGGCGTCTAGCCAATGATTACTTAACATAATTATGATGTTGGTACACATCAATACCCTCAGGGTCCTTGGCGTCTGGCATAAGCGTGTTGCGCCAAAATATTAGTTTATGTATGCTGAATTTTATTGAAGGAGAAAGATCAGTTTTGAAGAATCTCATTATTTGATCTTTATTAAATTGAAAAAATTATTGATTGCTCTGCATGCCAATAACAGTTGGCTTGATTTTAGCGTCATTATCCTCTCGTGTATGCATAGTATACCGTTTGTATTGAGGCAGAGCCATCATCGCCTTATGTTAATTTAACTGATGGAAGGCCCTGTGAAAATGCCTGTTAAAAAGATGCGTTAATCAATATTGTTAGAAGATACCTGAGGAGTACGGTTGCACCACAGTCGTTTGGTATTGAGATAAGGCTTAGGTTGACGAATTATACGAAAAATCCTTAAAGCTGAAGTTCATTCTTTCAAAGAAGACTAAATATAACTTCCTATTGTGAAACTTATATACATACAACTAACATATTTTACTTATTCTTCGTTATAAGTAGGTTTTGGAGTTCATTATTATTTTAAACGAACCAGGATGAATACACCTCATTAATTATACTTAATCATGCTTCCAAAAAGGTTATTTCATCCAGCTTGAACTGGTGACGAAGATATTATTCAAGTATTACTGATAATCTCAAAGCCAATATATCTCAAAAATAGGTAACACCAAATACTTTTATGCTTAATCGACAATCTCACTGTTGCTGTACTTTAAGAGTATGCACGTGTGCACGCATGCGTGTGTTGACTTCAACGCCAGAAGTCTTTCTATATCCCGATCCAACTGATCTTTTTCTTCAAGCTTTTATATTCATGTCGATTCCTTCCAAACTTGGTCTTGTAACTATAGTTTTTAAATCCGTTTGGTGCAGAACTACAATATGCCGTCTTCACATTAATATTTCTGCCTAACTTAGAACTTCACCTAATAATTATAAAATAGAAAAAATATGAATATTTTTTTTATAATTTAAATTTAATAGTAAATTAACTTGGACGTGCGGATGTAAGGAATTGTCTCAGCCTAGTTTGACATGCTGCGAAATAACGGAGTAGTCATCCATAAATTTAAATGATAATTTTAGGTGTCTAATAATTCCTTTTTCGTTAATAAACTGAGTTTCAATTTTATTAGCTCTATGTTATTTTTCAGAAGTTTACCAAATGAATGATAAGTTGATCATTGTAATAATTATTGAAATTTGTCTAGCACTTATCGTTCGAAGGTCGATCTCACTAAAAGAAGACGGCTGATTCTCGTAATGCAGCCATTTGGTCTTAATAGGACTTCAGGCTGATGCAGTACGCGAGGCATCCTTCCTCGTTTCCGGTAAAAACGAGCTGAACTTTGGTCCGTCATACGACGTACATCATCAGAGCAGGGACTTTTACCAAAATGAGGTCCAGATTTATTGATGCTCTTCATACGCTGGACGAAAGCTCAGTCCGTTTTCACTTAAAACAAGGGAGGATGTCTCGTGTACTGCGTTAACTGGAATGTCGCAATTAGGCCAAACAAATGCTGGAAGTGGGTTGACCTCGTTGTCGCAACTTGGTCTTGTGTTCAGGGAGACTATGTAGAACGCACCGAGCGCTCCGCACAATGTATGTGCTTCCAGGGCCTTGAGAAATAGCGCCAGGAGTGAAAGGCACACAGGGA